CATTTAGTCCACTTTTGTATTGACATTTTTTTTTTTTTACTTAACTAAAACCATAATTTGCAGCCGATCAATATATATCGTATGTATAAAGAAAAGTTTTAAATGCAAAAATTGGTTTGATCAATTAATGAATTAGACGAAATAGTACATATCTAAAATGAAAACCAAGTCTGCAAATTCAGCGTTATTGTAAGCTATTTTTCAAAATTTAGATTAATAATTTCCAAATTTATTTTGTTCAATATGTAGTATTGAACTGACAAAATAACTATGTTACTCTGATAAATAATAACTTCAAAATAAAATCTATAAAAACTGAAATAAAAGTTACATTATTAATGTATTAACAAATAATTTAAGTTTATAATATTAATTTGATTATATAAAAATAATTTAAATTATTTAAAATAGTTAAAAAATGTAACCCTAATTTTCTTATTATTTTATCCTTTTTATTCGTTCGCCATATTATCTCGTAGAATTCTCATACATCGATATGTCAATCCCATTTTTTAATTCTTGCAACTCGGGCGTTAAAAACAAGGAACAAGCTCAAAATCAATGGTACAAATTGATTTTACAAGAAATCCCTTACAAGTATTAATTTTTAAATTAAATATAATTAAATAAAAATAATTAGATAAAACCAAAATTTTGAAGATGAAAAAGCAATTTAAAAATAATTTTTATTTGGCCGCTCAAGAGAGTATGAGTATACTAATTTCCTCAACCATTTCAGAATCACCTATATATTATTTATTACACCTATCAGAATTAAAATAATGTGTAATTATCTGTAATTAATTATTATGTAGTATTAAAATATAATAATATTTTATAATTTTGCACGCCAACACAACTTCTTCCCACAAGCCACCTGTGATCGTTAGATTTTTTTTAATATTTTGAAAAAAACCCTTGAGTTTCACAAAACTCTTAAGTGATCTCCGTACTTTAGAGTTCCGCAAACTTTGGGTTTCTGCGAAACGCAGTTTAATAATCATTGTGGCAGAAAGTATACTTGAGTTTATTAACATCACTTGCATCTTAAATAGGGTTATTAGATATAATTTTAATTTTTATAAATTCTCATCTTAGTACCTTATAAAATAACTAAATTAATGTACTATTTAAGAATAAGTAAAATTTATATATTTGTCGTTGAAAATGAGATACAAGACTTTTCTGACTAAAAATATAACCGATTTAATTTTATCATAGGAGATATTTCAAACGTATTACGTATTATTATGACATAGTAGTGATTGGTAGTGACATATTTCATTACGAAAATTAACATACATAGTAATGATTGGAAAAAATCTTTATACAAAAACATTAGGTCATACATTAACCATACATTGTTATTTCGATGTTCAAATCACAATAATTATTTTCTTCACCAAACATTGAAGATGACATTTTTTTTTTAACCTTGTCGATAAGTCTTACATCAGTCGTCTGAATATACCTATTTAAAGTTGTTTCTAATAAAAAATATGAAATTCTTGACATTTATAAATTCCAAGGGCATATTATTATTATCATTACTACGCGTACAAATCGTTGGAAACTAAACTATTCAAATAATTTTTACTGGTCGCCGTCCTCCGATAATACTTACACAATATGTAAAACGTTACAAATAATTTACAATAATAAAAATGCTGGTTTTGTTCAATGACACATGGTTCGAATCACCTACTGTTTTGGTTCGTCAGACAGGTTTATTTTGAAAACAAAAAATATTTCGAGGAAGAGTTAACACATAATATGTAGCAGTGTAGTACTAGTTTTCGAAAAACCAATTGGTATAAATATCGTTAACATTTAAGATGAACATCAGTATAATCTGCAGTCATCACATCGATTCATTTGAAATCTACATTTTAATCCTCGAATTTATCCGAATTACTATCCACCCACCGTCATGTACAAATTATTGGTAAGTAATATTTTTGTACCTACTGATATATAAATGAATAACTTTATTCTTTATTCAGACTATTAACCTTAATTAATTAACAGTAAAACATATAAAATTAAAATTATTTAAACTCCCAGTTAAAAATCGCATTCATAATTTAATAAAATGAATTTAACTACGATTTATAATTCGTAATTATCTATGCTTCTCTCTCTCTCCTTTGTGTTATAATTATTTATAAATATTAACAAAACGTTAAATTACAATGTTCATATACTAATATTTTTAAATAATTTACCTTTAATAAGTTGATTATGATAAATAAGTATTAATTTGAATTTTTTTATTTGATTTTTAATCAACCCTTTTTTAACTTTCAAATGTTCAGTAAATTACTGTTCGAACTATTAAAAAGCAAAAATGAAATTAAAGGCATTCATGTTGTTGTAACATTATTGTACGAAATAATTTTTATTATATCTATGGTACAAACGTCGTTTTTATTAATTGTTAAGTACTTACCTATACACTACGTATAATTGTATATATATATATATAGTTTTCAATGTTTTCTTGCAATATTTTTTTTGAATTTTAAAAAAAAGTTCTACAATGAAATCCAACATATAACAGCAAAATTCCAATGTATGGTATTTATATATTTGTTATGAAATGAAAATTGATTATGGTTTTGTTTTAGTTATTGGTTGTCGCCGCTTTGGCTTTGATCGCTGTCGCTTCTGCTCAAGTTCTGGTTTACCCACAGAACTATGCACCGGTCTACACCTACCCATCGTACTACACTTACCCAGTGTCTTACAACCCGTATATCACTCTGCTCCGTCGATAGACACAGAATACAGATGAATTCATAATCACCACCTACCATTACCATCCTGCGCCATACTTTACAAGAAATAGAATATATAAATTTTTTTTTTTCCAAAAAAAAGGAATTAATCGTACATTAATGTATTTCTAAATTTATTTTTAAATAACAATTTAAAATAACATTATTGTGAATATATGATGTTTAATAAATAATTTATTCATGCTTAATCAGTTGTAATTATCTTATATGTTTACAACGTTACTTGGTTTTTATTCCTCGTATCATTTTATGATAATTGAAAAATTTAATGTTAGAGTTTTTTCCATGTTGAGCACGTTTTTAAAAAGGTAGAGTCAAAAATATGTTCAATTTTATGAGTCTTTTATACATAATGGTTAACAACAGCTACTGTATAATGAGTACAGTTACTATATCAGGTGAATATACGTGTACTACGCCTAGCGGACTCACATCGAATCAATTTGCTTATATTTCTGCAGGGTTGGATTTAACAATTTGCCATCCCTTTTTCAAAATAAATTTACCGTTCTATTCTAAATAAATATCTTCAGTACAACAATATGTTCTTATGTGGAATCGCACCTACTAAAAATGAGATTGACACAATCGACCTCTTCATAGACGATTTCTTGGGAAAAAAATTTTTACTTTGCTACAAATTTAAGTTAACCATATTTAAATACACTTTCGAAAAGTTTGATATTGCAGAATAAAATAAAAGTATTATTATTTTTTCTCCAAAATTAACATCCAATATAATTTTGCAACGTCTCTTAAATTCGCTGCATTATTCGCAGTGCCTTAAATCATATTAACCCATGTGTATATTTGAAGTTATTGAGTATTAATAAAAAGAAACTATAAATCTAAGAATAAATTGTAATATTTGTTTTTTTAAATTTTTTAGTACTTATACAGTAATAGTTTTAAATAAATATTCAGTTATCAATGTTTTCTTGCAACATTTTTTTTAATTTCAAAAATCTACTGCAAATGTATCTAACCTTGGTAATCCAAACTTGGAAAACAAACCCTACTACAGTATATCAGTACATAAACATATATTTTATTTAATATATATATATATATATATATATATATATATATATATATATACATGTATAATAGTTAAAACCAAATATAGCAAGTATAGTGATTTGGTTTTGTGTATTTAAATAAGTAATTGTATTTATTGTATACTCATTGATTACGAGTATAATATAATCAATATATATTATATACATTATATAAATAATCAATAGTGCAATTTTAAATTAATATTCTCAATTCTGTAATGAAAAATGTTTAATTAATAATTTAGTGTGTTCAACTATTTTATATAGTGTAAAGTAATATTGTTTCGCCAACCGAAAACATGGTGGATGTATGATAATCATAGAAAAGAGATTCTAAATAAAGATAATCTTGCGTCCCCGGGCTTCACTTCTCTCAATGGAAAACATTGGTAGTTCGTTATCTAGTATAATATAGATATCTGTGATTCAATCTTACCAAAACCCAGTGAACTGGTGTAGTGTTTTACATAAAAGTTAAATTTCAGTTTACACTACTATCAGTATTATGATCACGGACTAATGATTATGATACGGTCCGTGCAAGGTGGATATATGTCCACCTTGGGTCCGTGATTATGATAATACTATTATTGTCAAATCGAAAACGCTATAAGCACAGAATAGATTAAGGGCTAGTTCACATGAGAGCTGTTAAACGCGCGTTTAGACAATTTACACAGGATGAATGACAATGCGCGTTAACGCGTTGCAACGCGCCGGAAAGCTGTAAACGCGCATTATATTACAACTGCATTCATAATTGTAAACGCACGTTTAACGCTCTTCATGTGAACCTAGCCTACATTTCTGTATAAGTAAGGATGAGTTCCGCATCCGACTATCTGATTTTTTTTTTACGATAATTTCTTGTCAAATACGATAATTTTGAATAGTCTATACGATTACCACTCTTTCGAAACCTGACAACACTGCTGTCGGCTCGAATACGGTTCGGACAAATTACGGATCGGCTAATATATTATCAGCTATTATACTCGCTCCCGATATATATATATCTTATGGACTATAACATATTAAATAAATACTCGTTAAAACCAATTATAGAAGTAATACAACAAAAATCTTAGAAACCGTGGGTTATCTTATGTGTTAATCCTGATGATAGTAATGTTCTTAGTTGGTTATCAGTAGCCACCGCGACAGGTTGTTTGTTCTCAGTACTCTGTTCAATCCCAACGTTTGTATTCCTTATAATTAATATTATTCAATGAATCCTAAAAATAATAGTAGTTCTCCTCAAGATCGCAATCTTTCAGATACTTAAAAAAAAAAATAATAAATACAAGAACTTGAGTGTTGTTCTCACTCCTTCTTATACAAGTAAAAATAGATTCACTCCACTACTAACTCTCCAAGTCAACGACGAAACGGACGGCGCAGTGCGCCTCATCTGCAGTAGATGAGGTCAGTACTCAACAACCACAGGTTAGACCAAAAATTCCGCCTATTTACATTTACAACATTTCTGATTATCAAAAATTTCATGCATCATTAACCAATATAACTTTTGATGAATTCTCCATCTCTCGAACACAAAATCTGCTCTCAAATTAAATATGGATTCTATCAACGATTATAGAACCGCAACAAAGCTTTTCAACGATTCCGGTATAGAATACCACACCAACCAATTCCCAGAAAACAAACAACTATCCGTTATCATTAGGAACCTCCCTGTAAATATATCAGTTATTGGTTATTGGTGTTTTTTAAATACCTTCTAAAACCACATATACCTGCTAGTAGACTAATTTCATTTCTGAAACAGTCTTTGATATATTTCTTTCTCTTTTCAAAACACAATTTATCTTTGAAATATCTAACCTGTAGATAAAACAATAATCTATAATTCTAAACTGCCATTTTTTAAATTTAAACGGTATAATACGTATAATAAACATTCGAAAAATGTTATCCACGCATGAAATATTTTAAGTCCGAATTTAAAATATTTTTCTTGAACAATTGTCTGTTTTGATTCAATTATATTGATCATACCTTTTGGAAAACAATTACAATTCAGCAACAGTACCTATTAAAATGATCAACATTTTTCATTTAAATGTTTTTTAATTTTTTATAATATAGAATTAAATAATTCTGTACGAAATAGTATTTAAATATCTAATATTCATTATACATTTCTTATAATACATCAAGGTTATTTTTTATTTTTGAGCATTTTTTATGTAATTTTTAGGTTACTTGAAGTCCATTTCTTTTTAGGTTTTTTAAGGTCATTAAAAACCCAATCCTAATAATGAGTACCTAATAAAGAGCTTTACAGTTTGCACGATAAATCGTAAAATACGAACGTCTTAGCACGATAAAAAAAAACCAAAACTACGGGGATATTTTACAAATTGTTTAATTTTTGGTAAGATTGTTTGAGCTATTGTTTGATGAAAATATGTTTTATGTTATGAAGTTTGACAAATTTGATCGTTTAAGAGGCCTCAACACGTATAGAATACTATTTATTATTGTTATCATAGTGACTGTTCAGCTGTTTAGTTGATAAAAACGTCTATAGAACATGGCAGTCCTACCGTAAGACGAATGTTATCAATTCATCGTAGTTCGTGTTTTATTGTTGTTATTATTATTATTTTATTTTCTTAGTTCGTAAATTCTGACCACTATTTAATTGTGGTCTTGAGGACAAGGAAATTAAATCGGTATGTTAAACGTCCGTCGGGGATATCGTTACTAACGGCTTTATCTTTTGTTCACGCACTGTCATCGTAGAGTGAAGAAAACGATTTTCTCCCGTCTCGATCGAAGACACACGTCCGTTTTGAACACTGTGAGTAAGTGATCGGTTTTATGACAGACGCAATTGCTTTATGTTATATTCCGTTCTCGTTTCAAATCTTAGCGGAATTCAGTGCTGTTACGCCATGTGTATGAAACGGGATCTAGATGATAGTGATCGGCCGTTGTTTCCATTCCCATTATTTGATTTCGTCGATCTGACTATGGACGAGCTCGCCGGTGACGTAGACGAAGTTGATGCTGATAGTTCTATCGACGACGATGATGATGATGAATTGGCAACCCCAGCTCGTGACATGCGGAACTATCCTTACAACTTGTTACCATCCATGCAAATGAATGATAATGAAAACCCGGTAATTATTTAAAACTACCCCATCTATGCCATTTAACAAACTATTAAGAATTCAGATACTTATTTTAAAAAAAGTCGTATAATATTTTAGCTTAATTTTCTTATTCTTGTAGACATTAAATCCATATTATTTTGTATGTAATAATTAAATGTTAATTACGAGTGTTATGTTGAGTATAGGAGTTAACGTCTATTAGATGAATATTATTATTATTGATTACTATAAAATAAAATGCTTAAAATTGTTTCAAAAAATATTACTTGTAGGGAGTTATATCTGTACAGTAATAAAAATGTAGCAGATTTTTCTTTTATATATATAATTTTAAACATATAACGCAAATATTTTTTTTTCATTCTTATCTCCTTGTGTTTACATCACTCCTAACTCTAATCTTCTCAACTTTCACTCTAATTCTATCATTCATTCCATTATCGATTTCCTAAACTTCTCTGGTTTCCCTATTTAAATTTATATTTATTGCTTAATAATAAAATTACTTAAATTGTTTTACATATGTTTAATAATCTAATTGTGTTGCTTTAATGTTTTGTTATGTGCAAAATTAAAAAAAAAAACTAGGAAGCTTAATATTATAAATAACTTATCATGAAATATAAATTAAATATTGAAGAAAGGAATATGCAAGTTGCATTAAATTGTTTAAAGTTTATATAAAAATGTTGAATACATTTTTAAATGACTGTGTATGCTATCTAGTACTCATAGAACTAATTGCTAAATATTATTGACATTTGATTATTTTAAACTTATATTACCATTATTAGTTCATTTTATTATACTAATATTTTATTTGGTTTTTTTTATACTTTTTTTAATAGAAAAATAATGGTAGCTTATCCATTTTAATGAAAATTGACAATATGTTATCTAGTGTTTTTTAAGTTTAAATGAATCATTTTTTTATTGATTAAAAATTAAACTGACTAATAAGTTCTTAACATTGTTTTGCATAATTTATCATACTGACAAATATCAATAAAAAAAAAAAATAAATAATTTAATAACATTTTAAAAATTTAAGTGTATTCTTTAATAATAACTCACTTTTTCATTAAGCATTTTTATAAGACAAAGTGTAAAATGTATTTTGATGCAACATGTAAAATAACTTAAAATAACTTTGTTAATTATCACATATTGTTTTTAAATAAATATTTGGGTACTTAAAATGTAACAATGTGGTAAATGCATAGTTTGACTTATTCGGTTGTTTTTGTTTTAAATAAAATTATTATTCAAATAACATTTTTGAATAATGTTTTACTAAAAAAAAAAAAAGCTTTTAAATTAAAATTGTTAAATAATATTGTATTAAAAAAATCCAGAAACAAAAATATTTGTTGTCATACACAAACATTAAGTACTATACTAATATTTTATTACAACTTACATTTGTTTAAATGATGATAAAATAGAAATCATAATTATATTAATCTAAACTAGGAGTACAATATACATTATTTATATAATGTATACTTTTAATTATTAATTTATTAATAATATGATCTATTTTATTGAGTATTACTTTTTTTTTTTTTAGGTGAGATTTATTAATTATGCTAATTTACTGGAAAATTCAAGTGATGATGTACCAATACCTTACGATTACATCACAGAATATAATAACTTTTTTAATAATGATATTCCCACAAATACAAACACTAACATAACAAATACTGCATCAGTAATCAACGCTATCCATGCTGTAAGTAATTTTTATTATTTTAAAAATGTTTCAAATAATTTTAAAAATTATTTAATAAAATAATTTGTAGAATATTGCGGAAATCAATAATACTGATAATGATGAAGAACGACAACGACGATTTGAATTAAATATACCTCAAATATTATTGTCAATGTCCGCTATATCTCATAATTTATTGGGACAAATTAGAAATATTAATAATTAGTCTTTCGTGTATGTACACTATTATTGTTTTACAATGTAAACTCATTCTTCATAAAAAAAAACTATTCTAGTGAAATAAAAATATTTTTCGAAAGGAACGTTCATTGTTTTACCTATTTAAATTTAAATTTATTAACAAGGTTCATATGATTTTAATATTTGTACTACATTAATTAAATAAAATCCAATTAATGCTCCAAAAGTTGATCCAATTTGTGTAATGCAACCATAATGGAATAATCCTCTGCTGCCTTCATCTCGCAGCACTGCTGCTATTGACAATTTTACATAAGAAACACATCCAACAAATAAAACCCATATAAAAACCTAAAATATAAAACAAGTTTGATTCAAAATTATTATTTTTAAAAATATTTTAATATATATTTTACATAAACTTTATTATAATCACCAATCATTACAATTGATTATGTATTACATATTCATAGTAAAATGATAAATATGATAAATAAATAAAATAGGTTTCGTAGGCATTGCACAAAGCATCCTTTTTTTTTTTTTTTTTTTTTTTGACAAAAATATTAACTTGATATTTTCATTTAAGTATCTTTTAATGTAGTTATTTTAATATTATTATTTATCACACTTTTATTCATTTTACTATATTATTTGTATGATTATCAGAATGTTCATCTCTAATTATGGTCGATACAAAGAAAACAATAAAATTAACATTTACTTGAGAACATAGCTCAAAACTGACATCAAACAACTTATGGATTACATAATATATAATATGATATTGTATTCAATTATGAGTTGAATTAATATAATATAAATACCATAACATTTTATATTGAAATAAATCAGATTCATCCCTAATATATCAGACGAACATTCCTGAACCTAAATTGTATTTGATTAAAATCCACAAAAAGTAAGTTTTGAATTATTATTTAGCTGTTTGATTATATTTAAGCTCAATGTAAGTAGCATAAGCCTTAACTTATATTTCCAAAAAAAAAAAAAGATAGGCATACTTTAATTTTCTAATAAATAAAATAGAATAAATATGATTCTACCATTTTCTATGTTAACCACATGGGGATTATAGATAATAAAATGTTAAAGTTACTTAATGATTTTTTGTGGATATTAATGTATACATTATATTTTTTTCATTCATTTAACTTACAATTAAGATTACTCCAATAATTGAATTGTTCAAAGGAGGTGATGGACTTGTAAAGGCAGTCATCAACATATAAATTGTAGATACTATGCAAATACTACATAACACATATATCACAGATTTTGATGTTCGATTAGTATAAAATGCAACAAAACAAGCTATAGGGTTTGCCATGTTAGATAAATTTGTTGCCAAATGATATGCTATATATCCATATGGTAAACAAGAGTAAGATTGAATACTGGGCATTAATCCATTTGAAAAAAATACAATAACACCTTGTATAACCAATAATAAAATATTAGAATTATGTATGGATTTAGTACCATGAGCTTCAACACTTTCTGGTTTCGTTTGAATTTTTTCCTTTTTGCAATTTGGTAAATATTCAAGAAATAAGTATGATACCGTACTTATGCACATTATTATTCCAATTATTGTAAAAAAAATTCCACTAGAAAAATTAGCATTTGTCTGTGCTTTTTCTGTAATATTTTGTCCATTTCGTTCAACTGTATAGCATGTGGTTGTACCTATACCTTGAATAATAGCAATAAGACTTGGTACAAAACCACTTATGCCTTCTCCGACCATATATGTAACTAAATATATATCTGAATAATGACTCAATGAAGGTATAAATAAAACAGAACTAGTACAACCGACTAATGCTATAGTGAATGTAAATATACATAATACTATACTATGTGATTTGCCAAAAATTATGCCAGTAACATCATAGAACATTGCCAATAAAAACATGGATATGATACCCAAAATCAGTATTGAAATTATCAGTGGTCTATCATATTGGTTTCCAAATTTCTTACGCCAAGCACTGTACAGCAATGGACCCAAATTACCAGTTTGTACAGCTATTGATAAGTACGATGGTAAATTCCATCCTTCAGGTGCATTTTGTACAAGCAATGGAAATTGTGTATATAAACTATTAACCAGTATCCAAGATCCTATACCAAACATACACGTCAATAAATCCAGAAACCTAAGCAAAAAAAATTATTAAGTTATTGTAGAATAATGCATTCTTGACAATGAATTCAATAAACAATATAAAAATTATACTCCTTAAACTAAGAGTGCAAAAGGCAAATAATAAGTAATTTTTTATAATAATGTGTATAAATTAATTGTGTATAGTACAAAAAATATAACTTTAAAATATATTGATATCTTTTATTTAAAAATAAGATCTTACCATTTTCTCTTGACCACAGAATTAGTTTCCAAGCTGTATACTTTCATTCGTTTGTGTTTTAAGTACGTATTTTCGTCAATTCTATACATGTATAAACATAATATATTATTATTATTATTAACTATTGTACATTATAAATAGTCATAGAAGTATTAAAATATAAATTAACTAATTCAAAGAAAAAAATTGTGTTGGTACAATCTTTAGTTGTAGTATAATTAATTTTTGTTTACATCAAAAATATGATTTATTGCAGTTAAATTATTACTTTTATCATAATGGACATATTCTATACCTTAATTTTTTCCAAAAAGTCAATAGATCAGCTTGGAATTTTAGGAGCTGCCAGATGATATATTTATTTTCTCTACTAACACTTCTTGACCATTATAATATTACAATAAACATTGAATAATATACATATTTTATTGACTTTTATTTTAAACTAAATAATTCTTAAAAAAATCTTGTATAACTCTAAATCGTTTAAAAATATTATGTTATTCTATGATTATGAAATCGCTGTCCAATGTATATTCATCAAATTTAAAATATGTAACACTATGTAGGATTTATAATTATTTCAACAATCACAGAACTGTTTATTATAAAATATAAGAAAGTATAAAATTAAGCTGATTACCTAATTAGTTTTAAATTATTGTATTTTGTCTTCAATCAATACAATTCTTTACTATATTCTACACTTGTTTATTAATTCAGTGTAATTTATTAACCAAATTACCTTTCACTAGCTATCTTTGAGGATAATTATATTTTGGGATTAGTGACACAAATGTGTACTTAGTACATTTTATATGTGATTGAATGATTAAATCAAGTTATTAACATATAACTATAATTTATATACTATTATATCATTATGTCAATATAATATACTGTAATATTTTATCAAATAATGTATATTTTTAACTATGTAATGTAAAAAAGAAAGAATTTGAGTAAATAACCTTGAATAAATAAAAAAAAATCGTAAGCAATTTGTAATAACGATATTTAATTGCAAGTTTGTTTCAGATAGCCTTAATCACAATACAATTATATAATCTGAAAATAAAAAATTATAAAATTTTAATTTGCACACTAAATAAGTAGATATAGAGAAACAATAATTTTTGTGATTACCTAAATTATTTTTATATGATAGAATTATATTTATCTTGTCAAATTATTTTTTTTAAAAAAACTTGTATAAAATTAACTACATAACCAACTATCAATAATAATATTGAAAAAAATTATATTTCTAATATTTAGTATTTAAATTTCTATGCCTCCTTGTATATTAAATATAGTAAATGGCATGCAAGTGTTAATTTTTTCAATTAAATCACTTAAAAGAATATTGTCTATAATTTTTTCTACTATCCTACACAAACCCGACGTGTTCACATTTTTATTCTGTCAATAACTAAATCATATTTGAAATAAAGTTTCTGGCAAACTGATAATAAAATCAGTTTTGTGCACTAGAACATAGAAAAAATGTATCTGCATTTTATAATATTATTTTAACGTTGAAATCTCAAATAGGAAGTATTTTAAAACAAACTTTTTCATTCAATATTTTAAAATTAATTAAATAATTTCCTAACGAATTAATAGAAACTTTTAAACCATAAAATCACACTCAAACTTAATCATTATGACGTAAAATTAATTTTGTTTACTAACTAAACAATTTTACTGCATTGAGTTTGTTGATTTGTTTCAAATGTATGTCAAATGAAAAAAAATAAAATAAAAAATACAACAGGCCTGGTATAAACAATATGCTTAACTTATTTGATCAACAATTAAGTGTCGTTACCATGTACCTAGTATAAATAATTTAAGAAAAAAATCATAAAATTAGACAGATATATATAGTTACAATTAAAAATATCAAATTACTCACTAGAAAATCGTGATGTTAATTATTTGCCGACTACCGTGCTTGATTAATTTAAAAATTGTATTATTTTAAAAACAGCAACTAAGTATAGTAAACCTGTCCACTGAATTGATATAAAGTATTTACTTGAAATTGATAAAAAAATTCCAATTTTAAAACTATAAAATTTAATAAATAACCAATTTTATACTGGACAGCGACCTCCGGCTTAATGCTCGCATGCGTCCCAATGCAACATGAAGTGGTTACATTTTACGCTCCCCTCTTTAGTAGAACCTACGTTGTATCATGGATCGTTTTAAATTGATTTTATTTTATTATTATTGGCTTATAATATGATACGAACGATTTAAATTAAAAACTCACAGCAGTTTAATACAATTTGAAATCCCTATGACAAGTTCAATAATTTAAATTCATTATCTAATTAATATCGACAAGTATGATTTAATATTTAAACTATATTTACTTTTTTTTTTGCAATCGCAAAACTCTCTCTTTGACCAACAACCAGATTTAATTGATTCGGACTGTGTTTAATAGATGTTATTACTATAATGAATAATATCCCCGAGTCCCCAGACCTACATTTCCCCACCATAATATTAATAATTAATATTAGACTTATTGCTACTAAGAAAATAACTCTTCTGAGAAATCTGGAAGTCTTACTAAAGTTCCTTGAAAATTATCTATAAATTACTACTGATTTGTTTTCATAAATCATGTACAACGTCGTAAAATATAATTTAAATATTTAATCTTTTATTTATTGATTTATATGACACGTAGGTATACAATAAATTGATGTATAATATATGTATACATTAACTTATATCATAAAATAATATTTTCATAGGTTATAAAGAAACAGAAACTTTTAACATAATTCACAGTAGTAATAATAAATGCATTAAATAGTTGTCTGCTAAAAAAACATAAAATAAAATAAATTCGTTGTTGTTGAAAATTGAAATGACAATTTGTCAATAAATATTGATTTTTATAAATATTATACAAATGTTAAAGGAAATAAGCTTCAATATTCCTTAGTCCTTATACATATAGATAAAATTCCTTTTATTAGCATGTATGCATAATATTTGAATCTGTTCCACGAAAGCATGTTTTATGAATGGTGAATGTATAATTTTATAATTTTAATATTTATTAAAGACAAACAGATAGGTATTGAAGTATAACGAATATATGCGGTAAGTTGGTAGATATAACATATAAATATTAATATAATTTTTAAAATTGATAAGATATTTATTTAAGGCTCGAATAGGAGCAGGTAGATAGGAATAGAATTACTTCGTTTCCAGTACAATATTTTACATACATTTTATATTTTTTCCACTTATTTCATTCTAAGTTATAATACAATATATTTACTTTTGAAAAATATTATTCCAAAGTAAACGACCAAGAAGTTAGATCAATCGTTGAAAATTAAAAAAATAAATAAAAAATGCTACGTGCTTAAATATATATACTCCTACTTAATAGACATATTTCGATTTAACTCGTTTACAAAAACCAGAATATATCGTTGTATTAGGATGAAATCCTGAAAATGTTAGCATTTACTTTACTTCTCCCAAACGTATTCTTCCTACAGCTACCCTATATCATATATGCACAGACGCATTGGTATTATATATATATATTTGTATATAAACTATGGTTAGATACTATCATATTATTCCTCCTTATCGTCTATCATATGTCACACTGGAAACCCCAACGGTTAAACATTTATTAATCAATGCACTGATTGCATAATCAGTTTCCAGACACAATAAAAAATCAATAATAACTAATACACTTGTTAAACGTTTCGAGTACACTCACCATACTATAAATTTGATAACACATTGATAAGATAACCAGCAATTTAAATATTCGCTGATGTCATAATAATCAGAAAATACACGTAAAATAACATTATTTTATCATCATACAACACACGCTATATTATGTAGGTTTGAATCGGACTTGTGATGGACAATTGGTATGCAATTAATAGTAAAGGAAAAAAAAATGCAAAAACCTTGAATTTGTTTCACAATCCGACGATGATACGTCCGAGCACATATTGTACCAACGCGCAGAAATGTCGATCTTTGAATGTAGCGGCAGACGTCTATTTTAACATCAACTACATTTGACTAGGACGCACAGACGTGAGTGTGCACGAGACCGGTTAACCTACTAACTTATTCGCTTCTCTCTGTCACTCATACATATTTATAATTATATTTTCGAAGCATCCCCCCTCAATAACTCCCTCCCCATCATGGAAGAACGTGTAGCCACCAATACATCGTGTATTATTTTTTTTTAATATCACTTGAGTACATTGGCCGACAGGCAAGCAAATATGTGTATCGTATTTAAAAATGTTTTGTTATTATCAATTGACATATTTTGGCGTGCAGGTACGCGTGAGTGCGTGACTACCAGTCGAGCCGCGATACATAAACATTATCATTAATTAATGCACGCGAATAAATTCACGATTCATACGATTATCTGATTCGTCGTTCGACGATCGCGGAGTCTCGTTTCGTTGAATGGAGAAAAAACGCGTTGGCCTACGCACACGGTAATACGTCATTATATGCCGTCACATCCGCCTAACGTGTTATTATTTTAATTACGTACTAATAATGACGTACTAAACCGATTTCAAAGCGTGTACGTTATGTGTATACTCACTTCATGTTGTCGCGTGCGTATGTGCTAACCCTGTGTCTATTATTATAGTGCGTTCAAAATCGGCCGGATCGGAAGGGATTGCTGTTGGTCAAAACTACAATTAATAATAATGCACGCGTACTAATTCCATTGATTCTGTGATTGTACTGAAAGAACACACGGCCTAATGAAAGCAACCACTGCAGCAACAATGATTGATAATTGCGATATTTACTTTCGTTATAAATGCGCACGGAAGCGATCGATACGAAGACGATATGTTCGTTTTTTATTCTTTTTGTTTTATTTTTATTAGTCTTTCGGCCGACTGTCCATTAAACCCGCGCGCCACATCCGCGGCATTTATTTGCCGAATGGCAGCGCAGAGATAAAAAAAAAAACTCGTCCCGCGGTTGGTTTGGTTGCATCTGAATCACAAAAGTGTGAAGCGCAGCGTGCGCGTTCGTAGACCAATCGCACCTTGTGCTGTACCTACCACAGTTTCATGCGCGGGCGTGCAGTCGTACCGAGATCAATACCGCAGTGGTGGTAAAGACATTGTTACCGGCGTGGACAGCGCGTCGTAAAATACAACGGATCCGTTGCGTCAAGTGATTGAGAAAAATGCTAAGCGAAAACGTGGTCTGCGTTCACGATCACACGCGGCACAATCATAGATAACATATACGCGCATACAGATAGCGTGCGCGTGAATAGGTGTGCGGCGGCGGTCTAGACACGGCGCGTACAGCAGGAAGGCCAACCGTTCACCCTTGAACTATTACACCGTTACATTTGCGCTGTGTTGTTCGATCGGTATGCGAGAATCATTAGGTAATTTTAACGTAAATCGTCCTCGATGAACAGCATAGTCGTTGAAATAAATTTTCTTTTCGACCGTGTTTAGGGTCTGGCTTAGGCGCTTTGAGACCTCCTTGCGCAAAATACGAAACGTCGTTTTTCTCGCTGATAAGGATTAATTATTTATTTATTTTTTAAATATTATATCTATTTTGCTTATATTAATCTTATACGACGAAACATTAATTTTATTTCATCATGTAAGTTGTATTCTAAAAAAAAAAAGTTCATAAAAATAAAAATTCTCTAATAATGGAGGCCATAGACATTTTCCTATCCTGCCTAATATGACACTGGACCGTGAACATTGGGGCAATAAACGAACTGAACATTGTGTGAACAATAATAATTATGAACCTAACAATAATTTCCAACACTTAAAGGATCCATCTCATAAATATTTTTAAAAATTAAACCGAAAACCGCAGTACAGTCGATTCAAATTTTAAAACATAAATTTGTAAAACTGTAGGTTTGTGTACATATGTTACCTATAAAAATATAAATATTTGTCCTCTCAGACTGCCTTAAAATTGGCTGTAACATAATTGCGCCGGTTTTACCTTATATATATATATATATATGTAGGTACAAGTTGGTCCATTATTTTTGTCAAATTTAAATTAATAAATATTTTTAGTAAATAATGTTCAATTCATCTTGATTCAGATATTCTAATAGTAAATTAATGATGTTATGTCATTATATTTTAATATAACATTTTGTAAACCAGTATAAATCATTTTTATTAATATGACTCTATTGAGGGCCCCCTGAGAGGTGATTGCCCCTTTGCCTCCCTGACTAAACCGTCCCCATGAGAATATAGAGTATTTAAGTACCTATAAGTAATATATATGAAATACTTAAATAAGAACACTGATAGTATTCAATGTCGGTATACTAACAACAATTCTCAATCAAGACGTATTTATGTTCGCAGCAGGTTACCAACTATTCAGATAGAAAATCAGATTTTTTCCAATAAAAGAACATTTTCTTTTGGTTTTAATATATTAAGGAGGTAACAGTATATATTTATAATACACATATATTTTCTCTCTATAAGTATATACTTAATTAATTTAATAGATATTTTTTAGTTCTCTTCGTGGTGTTCAAAAAATCAGTATCATATTTTACTAAATATACGAAATCAGTACAGAAACTATTTTTAAAAATCAATATATTTGTTGATGTCATTAATTCACTTTTTATCAATTCGACAAAACAGCGATTTCTGACATTTTTTCATTTAAGTTTCACTGTCGAAAAAACACTATATTATATATATATATATATTACCGGCTAAGTGTTGAATTCGGCTTTTATAAAATGGCTGGTACCGAATTAGTTCGCGTCTGAAAAAGGTATTTTATTAGGTATAGCCGAATTGGTTCCTGTTTAATCACGCACATTTTCCTTCTCAATTTTTCAAACATAGGACTGTCAACTTAAAAGTAGGCTTGGTTAAAAATGTGCGTTAATGTGTATTAAAAAAAAATGATAAAAAATAGTATTTTCTGTTAGAGCTATAATAATACCATCAAGCATAATCAGTAGTTCATTTAATAAAATATATAATATTGTCTTCCATTATGTGTTCCATCATAAAAAAAATGGACCATGCAATTGACTACCAATTAAACCACACTAAACGTTTATTCCTTTCACAGTTTGGTTATTGGTTTCAAATGTGGATTCTGATGGATTTGGACTTTGGACTTTAAATATGATTTATGAATTCGTATAATTTGATAATAAGAGAAAATTTAAATAAATAAAGTTGGAAATATCTAGCCTAAACAATCCTGGAGTATTTATTTTCAGAGTTACATTAAAAAAAACTGAAAATCTTGTGGATCTTACCATTATTTAATAATTTGTTCTTTTGCTGACTAAAATTCATTATTATTATTATTATTATTATTATTATTATTCAATATTAAAAAAAAAAATTAATTATTAGTTAAAATAGGCGATTACCATTTAAGAAAATAAAGTTGTACGGGGTACTTGTCTAATTAAGTTTAAAAAAATGTATAGATCATAAAAATATGTATTTTTATGAAATAACAACCAACTAAAAAACAGAATTAAAATTACATAGCCCTACAGAAAGATATTGAGTGTTATTGATTATTGGCTATTACACCTTTATATATTATACACGACCTTCATTCCGAGGAAGTTTTTTTTCGAATGCGCTGATTTATTTAAAAGATCTAAGGAAAATCTAAGCTCAAAAATCTGCTTACGACACACATTGTATAAGTAAATATAGAATACTAAATATATCAAGTTTTTAATTTAAAATTGTCTTTATTTATTTACATTTAATTTAATAAGAACTATGATATAAATATAAATACGGTTATATAATAATCAAATGACTAATAGTTAATTTTTTATCACAATCACAATAAAATATTAAATTGGAATAATAATTATTTAGACATTTTGAATTATAACTTTAAAAATTCAAATGAGAACACTTATTTATTGATTTATATTTATACCAACATAATTTATATTAGCCATCACATGAGTAAAAATTCTAATTGAAATCTGTAATGAATGACGAAAATCGGTTACAACAAATTTTAAGAAACTACACATTTTTTTTCGTCGTAACTTTATATAAGTGATATAACTATATTTTTTATATACTAAAAAAAATATTTCTGTATATTTTTATCAAATTAATTTTCATTCAATGTTAAAAATGTTGAAACTACCAGAAATGTGCAACGTTACAAAATATGTGATATATGATAATTAGAACTCATCGATGATCAATTATTGCAATTAGTATCATATACGATTGATTTTTTTTATTAATTATTAAGAAAAATTAAAACTAATAAAAAATATCACAGAATAAATTTAATATTTGTTCGCTATTTAATAATAATTATTCTTATGATAACTGATGAAAAATTGTCCTTTATATGATTCGTTGTTCAAAATACTTAATTAAAAACTATTTATAATACTTTTATGAATTTATATTTAATTATATCTTTCATTATTTGAGGTTTTAATTATATTATTTTTTTAATAAAAGTGGTTTAATTTTATAAACAATTTATTATACAACCACTTATTGCACGAAGTGCTTTATTTATTTATTTATCTTTATTATATACAGTGTGTAATTGGTTATTGGAAACACTCTATAACTTAACAAATATTAAAGATATTTGAATTCTGTTTGTTTGTGGTGCTTAACAAAGTTTGTTATGACTTATTAAAGTAATTAAACAATTTTTATGCCATTTCATTTCGCGCATGCGCATAACAACTTTTTTTTTTAAATGGCAACTCCACTATTTTTTGGTTAGTTATTTTTACTCTTATTTTTTCATGAATTTTAGTGGTAAAATCAACTTTCTATGTTAAAAAATAGCTGAGTTATAGATATTTCAGTGATTGATATTATTTTTTTACATTTTTGAATTATTCATCAATTTTATGGCTTAAATAATTAATCCTTTTAGCACCGCATGATATCTTCTAGTGATATTTTTAGTACCTACTTTTGGAAAGCATCCTCTTTCCCTAAAGCAACTATTTTTTTTTAAGTTTATCTCAGGCGATTAAAAAAAAAAAAAAAATATTAATTAATTTTATTTTTATTATTTCAAAATTACATTTATTCGTCATCTTATGAATTGTTCAAACTGCTCTCCATTACAATTTAAACACGCTTCTGTCCTCCGTAGAAATTCTTTATTTGTTGCAGATGAAATTTACCCTTCAGTAAGTTGATTACACGCCGCTATTATTTTTTGTTTCGAATTAATGAGATTAGTAGGTGGGTTTGCATAGACGACAGTTTTTAGATGTCCCCACAAAAAGTAATCAAGTGGTGTAAGATCTGGGGATCGAGGTGGCCACTTTATTATACCATAAGTTCCTATCCAACGATTTTCAAAATGTTCATTTAAATAATTCTTCACGATATTTGCATTGTGTACCGGGGCTCCATCTTGTTGCAAAATCAAATTGTTTCTTGTTGCAAGAGGAATGTCGTCTATCATGATCGGTAGCTCATTCATTATAAATTCTAAATACCGTCTTCCATTTAATGTACCGTCGTAGAAATAAGGTCC